GGATTTTGAATGTTATCAATGTGACGCACTTGGGATTGCATACTGTATATACTGTGCTATATCAATAAATGTTGGTTGCTTCAGTGAAATTATCAAGGTGCAGGAAATCGTAAAGACTGATCTAAAATCTTTAAGAATGATAAAACTAGCCGTCATTTTGACTGCTCCAATTCCAATCAAAGGAATTCTGAGAAAGTGTTTTGTTTTTTTGTGGTTTTTGTTTGAGGCCTTAGACCAGTTAGGTACATTCTCACTTACAATGATGGAACTAAGTCGGTCATCTTTGTTTATATCGCGCCGTTCGCAGACCAGTCACGAAGCCCGTTGTGGTTTGAAAGTTAGATACGGCAGCTTTAAGTAAAACACGTGAGTGAAAGTGTCATGACTTGGTTTCTTTTTTATTTTGACTTAATTTTGACAAGAGCGACTTTTTCACCATCCTGAAAAAAAGCTGTTTTCGAGAGCATACAAAAGCATTGGGTAATTCTGTTTCCGGGTACACCCCCACCATGTCCTTTTAGCGCCTGGACCTGCTTCTTTGGTTATTAGACTATTGTTTACGGCTCCACTCCCAGAGCTTGTGACCTGCTCTATCCAGTTTAATACTTCAGTACATCATGAAACTACTATTGCACCTTTGAGACCCGACTCTGACCAATCAAAACGCTCACGCTATTGTTTTCACTCTTTTGTGTCAAACTTGGCCCCGTTCCATCCGTGTTCTACGTTTCGTCTGGATTTCATGTCCTGGTTTATTTGTTGTTATTAATACTTTGTAACTTTGTGCAAGCACTTGGATGTTCTGAAGCCCAGTCCCTGTTGTTTTCCATCTGATAAGGAGCCGGAGAATGAAAGAGAATGTTTTACCATAACAGGTTTTGCACTAGTTCAAACCTTTTATGTTGTTATCTGGGGTTTGCATTCTTTACATGGGCACAGTACTCGCAGGAGAAGAAGAAAAAGTACTTCTGGTTTTTCCTACTTCTTAACGGGACAGTGTGTAAAAAGTACTTCTTGGGTCTAACAGTGAATACAATCACAATCACACTTTGGGCAAGGCAAGTTTATTGTATAGCGCAGTTTATACACAAGGCTTTTGTTCAGTAATATGAGGTTGTTGCCAGATTCTTCTTATGCACTGATTACAGCTGAAAACCACCTGCTGGGGTTAAGCTAAAAATAGTACAAGCTCAGTATCATTTATGACTTCAGTTAGCGCCTAGTTTTGCTGTATTTACTTATTAATTAGTTAATATTTTATGGTTTAAAAAAAAAATTTGAGGATTTTTTTCAGACCTCTTATCATTTGATTAGGAGCCGTCAAAATGACTGCTTTGGGAGCTCTAGTAGTTTCAGAATTCTAGGAGTCATACATTTAGCCAGATTTTATCATAGGTCCTTGCATGTGGAAGCCAGATCCTGTCAAACCTGACTTAGGCAAGACACTTCCCCCACATTAGAATGAGTCTGGTGTGTGTGCGAATGGTTGGTGGTGGTGGGAGGGGCTTATGGCACAGACTGGTTGCCTCGAATTCTGTCAGTGTGCCCCAGGGCAGCTATGGCTACAATGAAAGAATGACATATGAAGCATCTTTGAGTTTCCTGAAAAGCACTATACAAACCGATGCAGCATTTTTATTATAGTTTTTGAATGTGAAGATTTTCCTTATAAGGTAATACTGCTGACATAATGAAAAACAACATGGCCGCCATTCTATTTCAGCGTTTCCTGGTTCCTTCAAATCAAACTTGGACTGTCTTACAACCGTGGCCACATGTGTGCTCATCAGTCACAATAGTTTACTTATATTTTACGACTTCGACTTCGACACCCGAAACCCCACTTCCTGCACGATTACCCAACGCCGTCCCAGCGTCCTTGTCCACGTTGCGCAACTCTCTCTTATTGGACGCAGCTGAACGCACATAAATATATTTACCACACAAGAAATCTCGCCAATCCTTTTTGTTGACGGACACCTGGAACCGGCTCCAAACTGTTTATTTGCTCAAGTAATTGGTCCCACCGAGAACAATAAATCTGGAAAACACAGAATCTTGGATGCGGAATTCAATACATTTGGAACAGAAATGGTAATGAGATGTTGTTTTTATACTTTAGCTTTTCATTTATTACAATAATTAATTTATTAAGAGTTATCAATCAGCTCTGGAAGATTTTACCTGCCAAACTAAAACCTCTAACAGACCTAAATGAGTTTAGAATTCAAGCTAAACAATGGCTCAAAAGGAACCAAACCCGTGTATATTCTGCACTGTGTAATCTGTGTGTATATAACAATGGTGTAGGTTTGGTTCCAATCTTGGTGGGGACATTCACTACGACCTGAGTCTACACCCATTGACACGGGGTCCAGAGTTTCTCCCCCAGAATTTGTTGTGTAATCACACACTATATTTGCAATAGTGTGTTGCCTTCTATACTAAACTCAGCTGTAGACTGAATGAGAAGCAGTTATGTATGTTAACAGAAGATTAATCATCACAATTCATAATTTGCTATTACTTGTGCTTTCTCTTACTTACTTTCCAACTGTTAAAAAAGCTCCTGATATCTTTTATCTTATTTGTGGAGGTGGCATTTTTTCTAAATTATATAAGAAGGTATAGACAATCAAAAACAGACATTCATATACATGAACTGCAGAATCATTTATATAACTTGGCCAATGTCAAAAGTTACATAGTATTTCTCAATACAATGAGTTAACAAGAGTTTGGCAATAAGTAACAGTGTGGATTTTTCTATATTTTCTTTTTTTTATTCCACTCTCTACCCAAAAAGGCAAGTAATGACTCACAGGGCTCTCAAGTATGCAAAATAAAAACTTAAATGACCTGTTGTGGTGTGTTTTGCGCACAACCAGCATGCATCGTTAACGCAATGGAAAATTTAGGTATCCGAGCTTTAATTTCGGGAGCGCTGGTTGCGCTTTGGGAAGAGTCAGGGGAGAGACATGTCAGAGACACAGGGAAGAAACGGGGGAGATACGAGGGAGACCCGCACTTGCAACATGGTTCTGTCTGCATATGGTCCGAGCTCGGTACCATGTTAGAGCTGTGCTTTCACTGAGCGCCGCGGCTGTCATTACAAAGCGGCAGCAGCTGCACCAGGACGTGCACATTCGAGTGCATCGCTTGAATGTGCTTAGAGCAAATAACAGCAAGTGCCCGCTGTCACACATTTCACAGAAATTACATTATCAGCAGATAAAGGTTGTAAATCGTGGATCCGTGGAATATTTTCATCCCTAGTTTATCCTGATTCACACAACACACCCACTTATACATTTTGGATAGTAAGAGCACAATAAGTATTTTTTCAGCCTTTCAACCAACCTGTTTCTTTATTGGAGCCAGTTCTGTTCTGTCTCTGTGCCGTGTGAGCTCCTCGGGACATTAAACAGTGCGCTGACAGATTAGAAATAACGTAAGTACTTTGAATGGTAATAGATCTACAGTACTTTCCTCTGATTACTCACGTGCTACAACGCTCAGGGAACGAAAAAAAACACTTGCTTCACGCTGGCTAACTTTTAAAAATTAAACAGTCGCTCAGTGCTTCAGTTTGGCGCTGAAGAAGACAGCCAATCACTGCAGAGAACGGAACGGGTCACGTGCTGCTGCTGCTGCTGTTGCTCTGGAGGCGAGGAGGAGGCGCGACGTGTGCACAAACGGAAGACATGTGTCCCGGACCGTCCGGGTCACGGGACATCATGTCATTTTGGTGGGGACTTTTTAGTCCTCACCAAATATTGGTGGGGACATGTCCCCATGGTCCCCACGCAAACCTACGCCCTTGGTATATAATGATGATTTTTATGAAGCAACAGTTCTTGAAATAATCCCATCGGAAAATCTGGTTTTAATGTCAAAATGTGTCTGATTAAGATCAAAACCACTCGATTCTTTTATTACCTCATCTTTTATCATTTTTTGCAGTGTATATGTGTTGCCAATCTGCTGGAGACATAAGCTTCCTGTGCGCAGACTTCCCAGAGCCAGTCTTTCTGACGGTGTAGATCCAGAAAAACAAACATAACCATAACATAGACAATATTTTATCGTGCGTGTAGAGCAGGCCTTTTCTCTGGGGCCGGTGCACTGAAGCCAACGCCGTGGACGAGCTCAGAGAATGCGTTTTCCACAATAAAAGCACGTGGCGTTAACACCAGAACTCCCTGAGCAGTCGAATTGACGGCTTTTCGTTTGTGTGGTTCCTCAGTGCACATGTGTATCTGTTTGGTCTTCAAACATTTTTCCTGTATCTCAAGGTCATAGTAGTTTACCTTATTATTATTTTTGAAATGTTTTTTAGTTTTATCTTTGAAGTGCGAGTCCTGGTTACTATAGCAACACATAATTTACCGTCAGAAGTAAAGTATAGACTGGAACATGATTTAACAATAAAAAACATAGAAAATTACGGTTCTGGGAGTTTTAGTCGTGTTATAATTGTGAGAGTCCTTGTATAAACAACTTACTTGCTTTTTATCATTATACATTAGATTGTATTTTACGTTTTTATCTATAATTTTTTCATTTATCTTGTGCTGGGGGCTCCTCATACCTTCTGTTCTACAACTGATTATGCCTTTTATTTTGAAACTCTGACCGGAAGTGTGTTGTTGTACCTCTGCTGCTACCTTGCCCCTCGCTCCTCTCGCTCCTCTCCCCTGGTGCACAGTCGGGTTGAGAGCAGTACAGAGCCCGTCTCTTTACGCGCGGCATGGATCCACTTTTACGCACGACGCACCGCGCTGTTCTTGCAGCCAACACGGACTTTCTGACTCACGCTAGTTTTGGCCACTTTTTAAAGCATTAATTCAACTCTCAGTCCTTTGTTTTTAGTCGCCTCAAAGATACACTTGACTCTAATTTGGTCGCAACAGGAGAGAAAGTGCAGAGCGAGGACCAGTTTTGATCCACTTGTTTTGGAGACTTCGTGTTTACTATATGAGGATATTTAATTTGGCACCATGGGAGACTCTGTGTTCCTTGACAGGCAGAATTCTTATCTGGTAAGTCCATGCATCCCTAACTCATACATCATTACTGGATTGTCACATGTGGGCAAGGCTACACGCTATTTCTTTTCATTTTTTTTTTCAAGGCGAAGGGGACAAATACGCACAAAACGCAGTGTGGTATTTATAGATAAGGGATGTGTATAGGCTGAAAACATGCACGTTTCCTGAGAGTTTGCAGAGAACTTGCATGTGTTGACAGCTTCACTAACCCACGGTGACAGCGACGTGGGTAGATGCGGGCAAAACAACGCGATAGGGGCCAAGGCTATGACATCACGGAGGCAGCGGTGAGAATGTGGTGCCCGGACTCTGCCTCCTGCATATGCACTTGGAGCAACAGGTTGGATTGAAAGAGCTGCATATTTATTATTCCTCCCCCTCCTCTCTTTCTTTCCAGTTTACGTACGCAGCAGTGAGAGTCCGCGTGTGGTTCTGATTGGTGCTGATTGGAAGAACACAATAGGGTTTTCAATGGCTGCTCATGTGGATCTGTAAAAGTGTAATTTATCAGCGACAGATTAGAGGTGCTATTACTGTGATGTTGTGTTTTAGTGGCTGTGAACGCTAGATCTACCAGAGCAGTCCATTTGACGGCTTTTTAGTTTTGGAAATGTATTTACTCAGCCCATGTCAATTTTTTTATATTCCCAGCGTTGTGACTTTTTTTTGTTTCTTTATGTAGTTTTTTCTATGTCATTAATATTTTTAAATGAAATTATATTTTATTTTGGAGAAAAGTAGAAGAGGAAGCGCTAGTAACCATAGCAACGCACTGTTAACTTGCTTGCCAATTAGCATTAGCCTTTCCACAAACTGTATTTTGTTCTGTATTTCAAGTTTTATCCACCAGTTTTAGCACTTCTTAAAACTGAGCAGAGGTTAAATTAAATTGAACTCACTAACTTCCATTAATTTGAATGAGAGCAATCAAAAGGACGGCTTTGGGAGTTCCTTGTTAAAAGCAGCAAAAGGTGCATCAGTCGTTTGGGATTTAAACATATTATCATTTGAACCCAAAGCTCAGAACTCGCAACCAAAACCAGAATCAGTCTCTCGATCGAAAATGGCTACATTTCAATTTTTATTAGTCAGAACTCAGGAGCAATATGTAAAAATGTGTCCAAAAGTGGTCCTGCAGCCTCTCCCACTCTCCCTGACTCAGGTTGCCAGATATGCAGACGAATCCAGCTGGGACCATAACAGCTGAATAGACAAGAGTTTAGTCAACAACAAATCTATAACCAACACCTTTTTCACAAAGATAGAAATCCTGGTTTTATTCCTTGTTTTGTCGTTAATGATTTGAGAATCATAACGATCCTTTTTAGTTTTGCGCCACATGGTACTTTACCAGTGAGATTAGCTCCACGCGGTGAGTTCTGGTAACCCGGATCACGGACTTTCTGATTGGTGAAACGGTAGAGGGCAGGACATCGAAATGAAAACAACAACGAGATTTAGGGGCTGTAAAACGAATTTAGAAATAATAAATATCTCTGAAAATACTGTTATCAGTTAAAGAAGTGTTGGAAAAGAGCAGGTTTATGAATGCCTTTTATCAGATTAGGGCCCTTTAATGATAACTTTACATGAAAGTCTTAATAATTTCATAACAAGTATAGCATAAATAAACTCCTTATTGATACAGAAAAAGTCACAAATTGAGGATTTTGTCTGACATGTTTTTTGTAAAGTGTATGAGGGATGGGAAGGGCCAGTGATATTCTGGCATCGTGACTATAATAAAACTAAGGAAACGGGGCCTCAGTCCAACAGTTCTGCTAAATCAGTTTGTATCAGCAGATTTGACTTCCATGTTCCAGTGGAAACCTCCAAAATGGGCCTCTGCTTGGTCCAGAGAGCAGCAGGTAGAGAGGGTAGGTTAGCAGCAGGTAGAGGGTGAGTTATTATTAATAGTAGTGAACTTTTAACTGGATGCCTCTTTCGCCTCTTCGCTCTGTTCATTTGTTTTACCGTCAGAGCTGCGTACAAAAACGCTGGTAAAATATGACAACAAAGGCCCTTCCAAAGACAAGTGCCTTTTTGGATAATGTTAATACGTATTATGGCACATCCAAACAAATGGATCTCGCAGATGGATGAGATGGTAGACTGGCTCCAAAAATGGCAGTATAGAAGATTATGAAAAGGTCAAATGCTGAAGGAGTATTTTGATATGATTTGTTGCTTGGCTGCATTGGTCCAAAAGAGGAAGATCTATGAGATGCAAGTTCTACACCGCAAGAAGTGATGGAAAATAAGTTTAAAATGGCTAAAATCTGGCAAAATGTATCTTAATCTGACCACTTTCTGACTGAGTGTCTCCAAAAGGACAAAGCCAAATGATCACAGTAAAGCGTCATTTAAAGTATCAGGATTTTAAAAGGTTATAACTCAAAAATCAAAAGGAAAGATTGACAAATACGTTTTTGGCGAAATGTTAAAAAACCGGATCTGTCTCTGATTGGATAATTAACTTCATTTAAAAAAAGAATCATTCAAAAATAAAAAATAAACAGTAAAAATTTAAATGACCTTAAAAAATGTGTAGCGGACATGATTTCTGTGAATTTATTTCAAAAAATTTAAATTGAGAAAAAATTGGTTTCGTAAATGAAAGTAACCACGTTTTTTTCTATTCTTTGTAACAAAAAAACAAGAATTAAATGTGGATCTGAGAGACAGTTACTATAGAACATGTGACTAATTTATTACTAATGGACTCAGGAGGGATTGGGATAGTACCAGTCTCCCTTGGAAAGAGAAACTAAAGCAATAGTTTTTTAAATAAGACTAAATTAAGACAGAAAAGCACCTGATTCAAATAATTATGACGCCATATTTATCATTTTTTTGCAGTGTATAAGTGAAAAAATAATACATCCTAACTAAATGCACTGAAATCATGCAAAGTAATGGAAAACATTAAGATCGTGACGCAGAAATTCCAGATCCACTTTTGATAATTTTGAACTATGTTACTTTATAATAATGCATCTGTCTTTCACTCTAAACATCCATCCATTTTCTTCCCCTTAATCCATTTCTGGGTCGGGGGGGTGGCAGTCAGAGCTGCACCCAGTACACTTAGCACCAGCCCCTCACTGATCCTCCTGCCGGTGGAGAGTCCACAGGAGCTGAGATCTTTCAGTTGGGGCTTCAGGCAAAGTGGGGTTAAGTGTCTTGCCCAAGGACACAACGACAGCAGTCATCAGTGGGAGTCGTGGAGTAGGTCTTACGGTGGGCTCGAACCCACGACCTTCAGGCCCAAAGGCCAATGCTCTACCAACTGAGCTACTGTCGCCCTCACTCTAAACACGGTGGTGATAAACTACTACTATAGCCAGAGCTGCCCTGGGGCACACTGACAGAAGCGAGGCAACCAGTCTGTGCCATCAGCCCCTCCCACCACCACCAACCATTCACACACACACCAGACTCATTCTAGGCAATGGGGGTGAAGTGTCTTGCCTAACGACACAGCGGCAGTTTGGCACTTTACAGCCGCAGCCGCCCCACTGTGGCCTCAGGTGTTCCCAGAGGTTAAGTGTCTTGCCAAGGACACAACAACAGCAGACATCAGTGGGAGTCGGTGCAGAAAATCCCGTGGTGGGCTCGAACACACTGTCGCCGCGCCACTTTGTTTCCTGTCTGTCTTTGAGAGTGTGTCGCTGTTAGCAAAAAAGTAGGGCTCCGCATCAGTCGCAGCAGTCGCAGCAGTGGCAGCAGTAGTAATCATAACCCACAGTATGTGTGCGCCGCACATAAATACCAATAGTAGCAATTTATTAAGAACTAAAACCAAGTTCAATGGAGCAATGTTTTAAAATCAACTCTGAAGCAGTCTTTCCAGCTGCTGATCCGGTCCTTATCGTTACAAGAACAAGCCTGTGGCCTGTTTGATAATGACCCACGAGGAAGTTTTACAATACAGGAGGTGCATGCGAATGAGCTGCGTCTGGACTGCAGCCAGCTGGCAAAGGGGCGCCACCATTGTCTTTGAGTATATTGTCAGTTTTTAGTTTGGATGAGGGCTTGTTCACACTAAAGGGCACAAAAGTGTGACAAAAGGCCAACAATTAGATTTGAATAATCAGAAGATATTTAATGTTTTTCATGTTTCCAAACACCTCCTGTGTTTTATACATTAGACAAGTTTCCTAAAGCAGCTGTTTATTTTATGTAACGTTGATGATTTGACGGAATGAGCTGCGGAAGTTTGTGACATATTTTCAGATCCACATTTGATTGAGAAATTCTATTTATTTTTTTTACACAAAGTAGAAACAAAGTGATACTTTGTCAAGTCAACCAATTGAATGTGAAAACAGACAATTGTTTTTTTTTTCTCAAATCTAATTGTTGGAGAAAAATGGACGGAAACCATCACGTCGGTTACACATTTATCAAGGGTCATTTAATTTTTATTCTTTTAATTATTTATCTTGTGGAAGTTCATCTGCCGCTTTTTCAGACTGAGGACATTTTATTTTCTATGTAACTGAGTCACAGTAGAATGGTCCAATCAGAGGCTGATTTGGTCGTTTAAAATGTCGCCAAAAATATATTTGTCAATCTTTCCTTTTGATTTCATCCACACTATCTCTTCAATGTGTCTGTGTTTGAAATATTTGTTCCAATCTATGAAAGTAATTTAAGTTTTTAAGTTATACCCCTTTAAAGTCCAAATACTTTAATTGACACTTTACTGTGAACACACTCATAATACTCAGATACTACAAAGTTTGTCGATCGGGACGATAAGCCATGGGGGATTTCTCAATGAATTCCCTTTTGAGGACTTTTTGAGGCTAGACTTGTCCATGACGCAGGCTGGAGAGGTGAAAAATGGGTTTTGCATTGAAAAAAAATCTTTCTCTTTGTTTTTGGACTTTATAAATGAAGTCCATATACATACTTTAGTCCTGATGGATGGATTCAAAGCACTCAATCTTTTCTGCTCGACCGTGCGACTCAAAAACGTCAAAACC